AAAAAAAAGAAATAAAGCTGGTCATGTGGGTCAAAAAAATGTTTTTTTACAATTTGCCTTGTGAAGGTTAAAAGGTATTTGTAACTTTAAGTATCACTATCCCACAATACTGTGAAATTTATGTAATCATTTAACCTCAATAAAAATTATTATAAAAACTGTTTTTCATGCTGAAAAAAATTAATCATAGTGCTGGGTGCTGGTGGCTCATACCTGTAATCCTAGCTACTCAGAAGATTGAGATCTAAGGATCATGGTTTGAAGCCAGCCTGGGCAGGAAATCCCATAAGACCCTTATCTCCAATTAATTACTCAATGAAAGCCAGAAGTGGAGCTATGGTTCAAGAGGTAGAGCACTAGCTTTGAGCAAAGGAAACTCAAGGACAGTGTCCAGGTCTTGAGTTCAACCCCTAGACTGGCACAAAATAATCATTATAATCATAATCATAAAAAGCCAGGCACCAGTGGCTCATGCCATTCAGAAGGCTGATATCTGAGGATCAGGGTTTGAAGCCACTCTAAACTGGAAAGTTTGTGAAAGTCTTTTTTTTTTTTTTTGTCGGTCGTGGGGCTTGAACTCTGGGCCTGGGCGCTGTCCCTCAGCTCTTCAGCTCAAGGCGAGCGCTCTACCACTTGAGCTACAGCGCCACTTCCTGTGATAGTCTTATCTTCAGTTAACCACCAAAAATCCAGAAGTGGAGCTGTGTCTCTAGCCTTGAGCCAAAAAAGTCTGGGACATTGCCCAGACCTTGAGTTCAAGCCCCAGGACCAGTATAAAAAAAGAAAGAAAGAAAATCATGAACAGAGGACTTCAGCCAGGGAATATGGAGAGCGTCACATTATTTTAAAACTATGCATTCTTGAAAAACAGTTAGTTTCAGCCTGCAATCTGAATTTAAATTGAATTTAAATTTAAATTGTGCTTGTCTGTCGTTCTTCAATCAATCATTTCAACTTGTAGGTGCTAATAATTTACTAAGTAATAGCCCATTAAATAATTCAGGAAGTGTGAGAGGTTACACTGTTAGAGATCAGAGGTGTCCAGGCATTGTTATCTGGTGCTGTTCAATATACATACCAATATTTGCAATGTGTAATACTCCAGAAATTGTATTTGGCATCAGTGGTGGAAAAATGCTGTTGGCATCTATGCTCTTGGATCTTCTCCTGCTCTTACTAGCATGGGGGTTTTTACTGGGGCCTTCCAAAAGACAAGTCAATGCTGAGCAGCCACTCCATCTGACATGGGAAACCTCATTTCTTCCGAGACGTAAAAGTCTATCCATTCTCCAAAAGGCTTTCGCAAAAGCTTTATGAATTTTTTCATAGTCACGCTTTTCTGTTCTTCTCATTCTGTATATGGAAGAGAAATGTTCTTCAATCGTTACATATTCTTCTCTGAACACGGTGCAAAAGGAATGGATAAACTTTTGCTGTTCCGGGCTCATTTGATAGGAAGCATTGAATTTGGAAAGTTGATGGAGAATTAAAATTGGAAGTTCCTTTGAGGCTAAGTCAGCTGCGTAGACCCCGTGGTGTCCATCAAACAAACCAAAAAAACACATGTTGGGTTTATTGCCAAAAGTATTCACTATTGTGAACTTATCATTCATGTCTGATCTCCATAAGGAATTTCTATCTTGGCAGATGGCTACCCCTTTAATTAACGGATGACTGATTTTTTGAGAGTATACAGAACTCTTTTCAATATCACCAAGTAACTTAAAGTATCCTGGTACGTTTTTATCATTAAGCAGCTCGGTAGCATTATTTATGGTCTGTAGGAGTTTTTCAGTGAACATAAAAGATGAGAAGAGCTTAGAAATTACAAACTGTCTTTTAAGAGCAATAATTATGGTTTGTGGTTTCTTTTTATCCATCCATTGGAAACCCAGTGTAGCCAAAGCTTCATGTTGTTTCTTATGGTGAAAAATTTTATCTATGTCTATTTCCTCCTTGCATACTGAGCAAGGTAATATGGACGTTTGAGTTAAGACCTGTTGTTGGTTAAGGTATTTGCTGGTTTTAGAGGTCTTGAGTTGTTTCTTTTTTTTTGAATGTTTCTTTCTTTTTTTAATGGATAGTGGAATAATAGTCTCAATCGATGACTCGGGTGTTTGGGCTTTCTTATTCCATTGTCTAAATTTGCAAAATACTCTGCAAACAAGATGGAAGGTATTTATAGATCAGAACTAATACAATATAAATTGGGCCCTTATTATTTCACTTTTCCTTGGCTCCTGATCATTTCACGTGGGCCAAGAATACGTATTCTGATTTTGATTTTAAAACAAAAACAAAAATTCCCAGGTGCTGGTAGCTCATGCCTGTAATCCTACCTACTTAAAAGACTGAGATCTAGGATCTAGGTTTGAAACTAGCTCAGCAAAAAAAAAAACTCCATAAGACTTTTATATGCAATTCATCACCAAATAGAGGTATGGTTCAAGTGCTAGAGCACCAGCCTTGCACAGAAGAAGTCAAACAAGGATATGAAGCCCTGATTTCAAACCCCTAGTCCTGGCATGTGCACACACACACACACACACACACACACACACACATACCACACGTGTGCATGATAATAAAATAGATACACTGATTAAGAGGATAGGATGAAATTCCTCTTTTGGTAAAGGTATAGAACACTTTTCACCTACAGAGTTTAACAGGCAGACAAGATTGCTTATGATAACAAAGAAAGGGGAGAAGAAAAGATACTGTAGGTATAATTGTTCTTTGACGATATTTGTTATTTCACAAATGAAAGAGAGAATACCTTATAGCAGTATGTGTTTCTCCGTCTTCCGGAAGCTCGTTTTTTTGGTCTTCATTTTGTACTTCATCTCTATGAGCAGCCACAATGATGGCTGGCAATATAGGAGACAGGTGCTTAGACAAAGATTGGGAAGATGGGAGAGGGGACAATAGGAACTTCCCTGGCTTCATGATAGAACCACCTGTGTGGAATGTTTCCTACCTCACTTAGAAGTTTCATCACAAGGGACTTTATGATTCAGAAAGACTGGGAAGCCACAGTCCTCAATTGTAATTTCATTATTGTGGTTGTCGTTATTAAGTAGTTACATAAAAGAGTTACAATTCCATCGGTCAGAGTACAATGCCTTAACCATACAATCTTATGCCTGATGGAGTGTCAAGTAAGCTTATTTTTCCAGAAATGTGGAACTTCAGAAATAATTATTCTAGACAATTATGAATACTCTGTAGGTCACACTGCCTTCCCACTCAAGCAGTAGGACACCTTAGGCCATCTCTCTAGAATTCTTCCTGGTAAGGCCCAGAAGAGTTGTCCCACTGTCCCAAGTCCCAAGTCTCTGCCTGAGGGTTGAAGACCTTGTATGGATTAGATGCTTTGTTTTATATATTGCATATATATATACATATATATATCACACACATATATACATATAATATATACATACATATATACACACACACACACATATATATATATATATATATATATATGTATATATGCAATCCTGGGAACTGAACCAGCTATGCATGCTGGACAAGTGCTCTATCATTGAGTTATATCCTTAGGCCATCATTTTTACTTCTTCTTGTTGCTTGCTTGCTTGCCTGCTCTGGGACTTAAATTCAGGATCTTCCACTTGGTTGGCTTGCTTGCTCAGGACTGGTGCTCTACTACTTTAACCATGTCTCCAGCCCTCCATTTTGCTGGTTATAGAGTTGTTGTGGACTTTTCTGGCCTGGCTGGCTTTAAGCCTTAATTCTCTGGATCTTAGCCAGGATTGGGGCTGTGAGACACTGGCACCAGGTCATCACTTTGTTTAGTGACAGTGCCTTCACTCCTATCCAATAGCTTTAATTCCTAAGTCTTTTATCCACAGATCTATGTCACTCCTGAACAGAGAATAGAAGGGTGGTAGCTTGCTTGCACATTGAAGAAGTCAGGACAAGGGTAACATTTTCTAAAAAGAAATGTACTTTGAGCTGGGCACTGGTGGCTCACACCTGTAATCCTAGCTACTCAGGAGGCTGAGATCTGAACATCACGGTTCAAAGCCAGCCAGGGCAGGAAAGTCCATGAGACTCTTATCTCCAATAAACCACCAGAAACTGGAAATGGTGCTGTGGCTCAAGTGGTAGAGCGCTAGCCTTGAGCTGAAGAGCTGAGGGACAGCACCCAGGCCCAGAGTTCAGGCCCCACGACTGGACCCCCAAAAAAAAAGAAGAAAGAAAGGAAAGAGAGAGAGAGAAGGAGAGAGAGAGAAAGGAAGGAAGGAAGGAAAGAAGGAAGAAAAGAAGGAAGAAAGAAAAGAAAAAATATGAGCAAATGAAATGGATATACTCAAGATAAAAGGGTATTTTTTTCCTATGCTTATCAGCCAAAAGTAGATAAAAATAGATAAGAGTCTGGATGAGTTGGTTCAATGTGGGTCAGAAAGCATATATTCCATTTTGCATATATTCACATTATAAAGACACTTCTGTAATTTTCTCTTGTACTTTGCAATTCTAAGGTTGACATTGTTCCATGGTAGTTCAGGTAGCTCTTCCTCATTTTTTTGAATTGCAACATAATATCCCATTGTAGTAGTATATAGGAAAGCACTATTTCATGTCTTCTCTGTTGATCAAAATCTTTTCGTAGCATTTATTTGGCTTTTACAAACAATGTTGTAAGAACAGAAGTTCTTATACATGTGCCCACAAGGTAAATTCCCAGCAGAATTCCTATGTGAGTGACTTAGTATATTTTGAAATTTTCAGTTTCATTCAACAATACTTCATTAAGGATGGACTGTGTGTGATGTTTTAGCACTGGGAATTTCATGAAGAAGAAAACAAATTTCTTTCTGAAAGTAACACAGGTGATCCATGGAAGAAAAACCACTGATGACTTCATTAGAGTTAGAAATTTCTGGGTGATTTCAAGGGGTAGAGAGCCTGCCTCTCAAACACAAGATACTGAGATCAGACCCCCAATACTACCAAAAGAAGAAGAAGGAGGAGGAGGAGGAGGAGGAGGAGGAGGATAAGGAGGAGGAGAAGAAGAAGGAGAAGGAGAAGGAGAAGGAGGAGAAGGAGAAGGAGAAGGAGAAG